GCCATACTGAGGGTCTCAACTGCTTCCTCTCTCAAGCCAAATGTGGTTCAGATTTGTGAAAAGAAGCGCTGTCAAGTCTCTGGCAGCAAGGAGTAGGCAAGAGGAGCCATGTTCAGAAGAACCGTTCATGATTTTCACTCAATGTTCCATTCATGTTCAAAACACTTCATGTTCAGAAGAAATCATTAAAACTGTTAACTGTTAACATTTGAGGACTTTTTTTAAACTTTATTGTGGAATCCCTTATGCGGCCCACCCTCACCCAGACTCTGCCTCCAGCGGCCCCCAGGTAAATTGAGTTTGAGACCCCTGCTTTAGGGGCTCCGTAAACTAGATATCTGTAAAAGAAACATTTCCAGAAGGCTAAGAGTGAATGTTACGGACTGCCATGACTTCATACACACTTAAAAGCTTTGGGGTAGATAAAGTGGTTCACCAAGTGTTGAATAAAAAATAATAACAATAGCTTTTCATATCTATATACTGTACACCAAGTGACAAATGTGAAAGTTTGGAGAAAAAGGTATAGAAGCCAGATTGAGATGGTTTGGACATGTGCAGAGGAGGGACAGTGGATACATTGGTAGAAGAATGTTAGAGATGGAGCTACCAGGTAGGAGACAAAGAGGAAGGTCAAAGAGGAGATATATGGATGCAGTGAGGGAGGACATCCAGATAGTTGGAGTCAAAGTAGAAGATGCAGAGAACAGGGCAATATGGAAATCAATGATTCACTGTGGCAACCCCTGAAAAAAATGGAAGTAAAGGCCTGTTTAAAACTGTTGATAAACTGTACAACACAGAAACCGTCTCATGTTGCACCACACATAAGGCAAAAAAAAAAAAAGGTATAATGTGTCAAAGATCTGTGTTCACAAGGAGCAGGAAAATTCACGCTAGTTTTATTTATTGAGGCATCATTAAAACACAAGGAAAGGAAAGGAAAGGAAAGGAAAGGAAAGGAAAGGAAAGGAAAGCAAAGGAAAGGAAAGGAAAGGAGAAAGGAAAGGAAAGGAAAGGAAAGGAAAGGAAAGGTGGGTGGAGTGCAATACCAAGGATGCCAAGTGTCATAAAACACCACTAAGAATAAACAAACCTATTTTCTCTTCACTCTGAAGAACACCTTGGTTTTTTATATCTCTCAAAGCCAATTCTATCAGTACATACAGTATTGTACGTTTAGATATACAGGTTCAACATATACATTGAGTGAAGTAAAATGATATTCACACACGAGCAATAGTAACACTGAGAGATGAAATACAATAACTTTAAAACAATATCATTTACATATCTATAGAAAAGCCTCTGTGTGTCCTGCTACTGTTTGAGGTTATCCCTGAGCAGCAGCAGCTTGATGCTCAGCTGTCAGCACGTAGCCTGTTAGCCCAATCTGCTACCGCTAAAGTCGGCACTAACTGACTGTATGGTCACGTTTCCGTCACCCCCGCCCTAAATTTCCATTCTGTCTGTGGCCACTTCACCTATGTCTTTTCTAATTACCCACAACTAAGCAAAGTCAAGGCGACATGTCCTGTCAGTGTGAGAGGAGTGGAGTTGGAATAGACAATCGGACAGACAGTCAGGGAATATTAGCCTGCTGCTAACAGCTGAGCTGTGTAGAGCAGCTGTATACCAACGATGCACTGACACACGCATTCAACATAACTGTCTTGGTTTTGCTCTCAAGTCTGGTGAAATTTACCTGTAATACGACAGCAGTCCATTGCTGAGGACAAACCACCGCCGCTGGTAGCCTTTCAGGTAGTTGGTCCATTTAAAAAGCCAGCCTTTGTAGGTGTCCGAGCCCGGTGCCGGGGCCGTGGCAGAGGCAGATGCTGAGCCCTTGCTTTGCTCACTCATCCTCCGCCGGTTCTGAAGAAACCGTGGAGAGGCAGCTGGTTCACAGACACGACCCCACCACCGGGGCAGAACCGGGGGAGAGGACGTCAGCTCTGACGAAGGATCTTGAAAAGGGGGAGGTAAAAGGAAGCGGAGGAGGAGAGGTAGTATTAAGTCTAAAAAGAGAGAAAGCACCGTGATCCCCGTTCACATGACGCCGGGATGGAGAGCGGAGGAAGGAGAAGTGATGCCATGACTGCGCTGTTACACACTGCAGAGGGGCCACAGCGGAGTGTAGAGCTACAGTGGATAGAAAGAACATTCCTCACATGGGTTTCATGCTGCCTGACAGGACAACTACGACAGATATAAACAGTTTACGACTTCGACTTTACTTACCCAATATTTCTAAAATATGTGTAAGTGGGTGTGCCACTTAATGCAAACGACAAATCTATCACTTCAATTCTAGGAAATTTGACCTCAAACACGTGACATCTAAACATCTGACATGCGGTGTGGTTCCTGGTTCGGTGAGAGGTAATAAATAAAGTTATTGTTGATTATAGATTGTTTGTGTCATTAAAACCTCATACATTGACAAATACGTAAGAGGCAGATTGTGTTAACAATCTAATCTAAACGATTTATTACTACAGATTACTACATGCTTAGTTTAGTGTTGTCTCAAGGACACCTTACATTAATGACATGTGAGTTAATCATTACACTATTCTGTTCAAATAAGTCGTTTTTGACTTTGTTTGATCCTCTATGGTTTGGTTTAGCTCCACTGATAACCTCTTTTTACCACAAGGTGGCAATGTTGTCAAATGTCAAATGATCTCGTGTTGCTTTACAACAGTTAACCACAGAAGTGTTGTTGTTCCCAAATGTATAAATCATCATGAGTTGATCACAGTTATTACACAGTAGAAATAAAATCAACTGATGCGTCTGGTAAAAAGGAAAATAGCCCTTTTATTAGGAAATGCGCAAACAAACAAACCAATGAGAAGTCATGCTACATAGTTGATTCCTACTGTATCTCTGCTACATTTCACCCCCCACCCCCCACCCACTCATCCAAAAAGCCATCTGTCCTGACTGGAGGGTTACATCTTGGAGGGAATCATGAGCTTGTGCTCTCACATGCCAGTGGCAAAGAAACACATTCATTCCTCTTAGAAAACAACATTCTACAAAAAAATAAAAAAATAATTTAAAAACTCAGAATAACACATTTTCACATCAGTGCAATTAAACCCTAAACCCTTGTTGCTATCAACAAAAGCATGCAGTCCACTTACTCTATTAATCACCATTATATACAATAAGCCTTTTTACTTTATGACACTCAAATTACCTAATCAAAATTACCTAATCAAATGAAACAGCAATTGTTGCTCTCACGTTACCAGTTTGATGAAAGCTCTTGTAAGGTTCTCTTCATTCCTGTGATGCACCCATGCTGTGTTGGTGAACTGTTGAGTTCTAATTGCTTTTTTTCTGCAGAATATCCTAGCATGTGTGAGCCAGATCCTCTGTGTGTGAGGCATTTGTGTTACATAAATATATATACACACACACAGTGGGTACAGAAAGAATTCAGACCCCCTTAAATTTTTCACTGTTATATTGCAGCCATTTGCTGAAATCATTTAAGTTAATTATTTTCCTCATTAATGTACACAGCACCCCATATTGACAGAAAAACACAGAATTGTTGACGATTTTGCAGATGTATTAGAAAAAACTGAAATATCACATGGTCATAAGTATTCAGACCCTTTGCTCAGTATATATATTTTTTTTTTTTCAGGGATTTTATTGCTCTTTCCTGATCTAAAGCTTCAGCACGTACACCATATTACCAAAGGTATTGGCTCACCTGCCTTGACTCATACTATGAACTGAAGTGCCATCCCATTCCTAACCCAGAGTTCAATATGATGTCGGTCCACCTTTTGCAGCTATTACAGCTCGGAAGACTGTCCAGAGTGTTTATAGGAATTTCTGACCATTCTTCCAAAAGCGCATTGGTGAGGTCACACACTGATGTTGGTCGAGAAGGCCTGGCTCTCAGTCTCCGCTCTAATTCATCCCAAAGGTGTTCTATCGGGTTCAGGTCAGGACTCTGTGCAGGCCAGTCAAGTTCATCCACACCAGACTCTGTCATCCATGTCTTTATGGACCTTGCTTTGTGCACTGGTGCACAGTCATGTTGGAAGAGGAAGGGGCCCGCTCCAAACTGTTCCCACAAGGTTGGGAGCATGGAATTGTCCAAAATGTTTTGGTATCCTGAAGCATTCAAAGTTCCTTTCACTGGAACTAAGGGGCCAAGCCCAGCTCCTGAAAAACAACCCCACACCATAATTCCTCCTCCACCAAATTTCACAGTCGGCACAATGCAGTCTGAAATGTACCGTTCTCCTGGCAACCTCCAAACCCAGACTCGTCCATCAGATTGCCAGATGGAAAAGCGTGATTCATCACTCCAGAGAACGCGTCTCCACTGCTCTAGAGGCCAGTGGCGGCGTGCTTTACACCATTGCATCCAACGCTTTGCATTGCACTTGGTGATGTGTGGCTTGGCTGCAGCTGCTCGGCCATGGAAACCCATTCCATGAAGCTCTCTGCGTACTGTACTTGGGCTAATCTGAAGGTCACATGAAGTTTGTAGCTCTGTAGCAATTGACTGTGCAGAAAGTCGGCGACTTGCTTGATTTTATACACCTTAACTAACTAAAGCTTCATTCTTAATCTTGATTTAACTTCACAGTTCCTCACAATAACCTTATTATCATCAAGAACAATTCACATAGGCATTCTAAAATCATCCAGTGGCCCAGAAGTGAACTGCCAGGCCAGACCAGACTGGTCGGATCAGATTGGACCAGACAGACCATGGGTAATGATCCACAACACAGTCAGTGCTTATACCAGATACCAAAATGTCCTAAAGAGGCAACATAGACGTAGTATATACACTCCAAGCCTGCGGCACATCCCCAGTTTACTTTAATTTGATATATTCACCAGAAATGACACTGAATGAGGGGAAAGGGAGCAGATTAAAGTCCTACAGTAAATGTCATGTTCAGGAACTGCAATTATCTTAGTTCCAAAACAACCTTTTATTTTTTGTCAAAAAAAAAGTTTTTCTCTTGGGCTAAGTTTAAAAAGGGGGAACAAGAAAAAAGAAACAGCTGGCTTTTTCTCAGGATCTATGTTCATTAAGGATTTGAATCTTAATCTCCTTATACAAAATCACATTCCAGAAGAAAAATGGTACACTTCCCAAAAGTGTAACTACAGGAAAATCTTAAGAATGGTAAATTGCCTCAACCTTTAATTTATTTGCAAAAGATTATATTTAAAACTGACATATTTTCAATAATTGTCAGTTCTAACTGAGAAATACATTTTAATCGTTAAACTTAAACATTTATAAAGTATGACCTTCAATTGAATCGTGAGGAAGGACGAATGAAACTGAAAAGACACAAAGATTGCATTGATAGTCTTGACAGTTGGCTCCTCATTTATACTGAGGTGTCATTAATGTGGAGGTCAGAAATGGAATCTATGTCCCTTCTTCTAAGAAGAGAGAGAAAGAGAGAGGGAGATAAATATATTTCCCTCTCTCTTTCTCTCTCTCTCCCTGCAAAACTCAGGGAGAGAAAAAAAAAAAACTTGATTTTTTTTCTGCAGGACAATGACAGGCCTCTTTTAACACAACCAAGTGCAAAGTAAAATATTTTATAAAGCAAAATGTTCGACTTACAAAACCCGCAAGAGTACGGTATCGGCAACCAATTTCATAAAAATGCACAAAAAAAGGACAATATCCTGTGTTGAAGTTGCTCCTGTCTCACCAATAAACTAAAGTTAAAAAATTGAAACACTGAAAGTGATTTGTTTATCTGTCTGATAAATAAACATTCGAAAGTATTACTAAATTACTTTACTTTATTGCTTTTTTTTTTCTTTAGAAAGTGAACCAAATATTCTGGACGGTGAGTTTGTATACACACACACACACACACATATATATATATATATGAATATGAATACCTCTCCCCTTAATTTATTCCAAATGCCAAAACGCTTGCATGCGTGAGTGCTATTAAATATGACAAGGTTGTTAAGGTTTTTAAGGGCCTACCACAAACATACTCAATGAAACCTACTGCTGTGGAATTCTGGGATGCACAGCCTTTTAGAGCCAGGCAGCTCAGACAGTGTGGAAAAATCAGTGTGTTAATCCTGTTGTTTTGCTCCTGCTTCCTCATACTGCTTCTCTTTCATGTACACATTTGGCAGAAATCGACTAGGTAGTGGTTGGATGACCATGAGTAAAATTTGACTGTGTTATTACAGTGTGAGATAATAAACCTCATTATGAAAAATCAGCTCAGTAAAGCAGGAGGCCACAGGGTATTTTTCCAGCCATTTAGATAAAAGTTCTTTTTTTTCCACTCCAGCTTCACTGAGGTAAGAGGGGTGGAGGGGGCACTGGGGCGTCACATGATGGTGCAACGATTTCTCTGTAGCGCCCCCTGTAGCCTGATGGAGGTGTGGTTCAGACGCATGCCTCGTGCCACGGCAATGCCAAGCAGCTCTTTGAAGAGCAGAACCACGTGCCAGTTATATTTGGCAGAGCACTCCACGTAGCCACACTTCCATGTCTTCTTCACCAGCACAGAAACCGCTCTGCGAGGCATGACCCGCTGCCTCTGCAGATCTCTTTTGTTGCCCACCACCAGGATTGGCACCTCGTTGCTGCTGCCTTCCCTGCAGGTGCATGTGACAGGTAAAAACAATGAGAAAAAGATTACATTTTGAAGGCTCAGTAATCATGTCGATGTTTGTCACAGCAGTTGGCTGGATGAGTTTAAAGATATGCCTGTGTGCAGTTTTTCCTTCCGAGTTATGTGGGGGTGGACTAGAGGATTAGAGCTCCCTGGCTCCAGGGGCCTCCCACCACACTCTGCAGTAGTTGCTTTACAGCAGAGCAAAGAGTCTAGATCTGAAGCAGGCTGGAGCTTGGCATAAATTAGTAAATGACATACTACTTTTAGATTTACTGTGACTGTTTTACAGAAAAACATCAACCCACAGCATGACAGGAAGTCATTAAGTTCTAATATTTGCAGTGGTAGGTGGTATTTAAAAATATGTTTTTGACATCCACAACTGCAGGACAGACGGAGAATGTCTTTTTTCTGTCATATCTAGTGGGTATAGTGACAATAATAATTGAGTCCCGTATTGATTGCACAATGAATTTGCAGTGGACACAGGCTGGTACAGGAGGCACCATAAAGTTCATGGTTGCAACTAACAGATTGCTGCACATGAGATGTCTTCATCTGCAGCTCATTTGTTTATATTTTCCTTTTTCTTTTATTGTTAATTTTTTCTGTTTTTATTAAATCAACAAGATATTTTGATTGATTATTATATGGTCTGTATTGTCATTGTTCCACGGGGATACAACAAAACTGAGCCTCTGCTGAAGCCTTTCAGACCCAAGTCCCCTTCCTTAACCACTAGGCCATCACTGCCAAGTAACAGCACTACGAATCAAAGGGTGACATTTGAAGATAAAACACAATGAACCATTGTGTAGAGCAGGGTGAGGAGAAGTGTAGTAATTGACTTAAACCAATTTGTATTAGTTGAAAGCATATTTTTTTGAAACCCCTTTAAAAATGTTTTGTTGAATATTATTATTATTATTTATTATTTTATCAGAAACGTTTGGTGAGTGCAATCCAGTTAGAGGAGCAGCAGGAGCAGTGATCTGTATAATCACATGGTGTCTGTGCACGTGCTGAGCACAGCATCAGTTGATGAATAAATTGTAAAATGCTGCCTAAACAGTTTTATGCTTCCTCTTATAATACATGGAATGTTAGAGCAACACACACACACAAACACACACACACAGAAGGAAAAGAAAAGACAGGGTGGTGTTCAGTACAATTCTTTAAACCCTGTTTCCAAAGAGGTGAAGCAGGAAAACAGTGTGCTAATCAGCTGACTCGTTCGTTTTTACACAAATGCTCAGTAAACAAACTGAAAAACATCCCAGAGCAAAACCCTTCACACTTGTGTGTGTTTAAATAGAACATAATTTACTTAAAGTGTGAGGTTGTCCTCCTGTGTTGCCCTTCTGTCTCTTGTTGATGGTAGGATTTTGAAGGAAATTGTTTGTTTTTTTTAACCATGCAATCATCATTTCAAATGAATGTTGGTGTGTTTACAAAGAGGTGTTTCCCTCTGTCTGTATTTTCTCTATTTCGATTTCTATTTCTTCTGGGCTGTCTCCAAAAATTACTTACTCATTCCCTACTCCCTATATAGTGGATTATATACAGTGCACTATAAAGTAGACTCATCGGTTAAATGAAAAACAGTTTTGGACACCCCAGCGTGCAGTTATAACATTATTACTGTTGCACTATTAAAACGGATGGATGGATTCTGCTTCTGTCTCTGTAATGTGAGCACGACCGCAATGCATGATGGGATATATTGCTTATCTAGCTTATGTATTCCGGAGTGCCCTACATAATGGACTTCACTCACTAAACATTCAGAAACTACTAAAAATGGCGTGCGTCCTATGTCCACCACCCATCCCCCTCTCCCCCCCCCCCCCCCCCCCCACTTAGCCACAGATTTAAGTGAACTGTTGAAATTTTTTTATAGCTTACATTTAAACTGCAGTCAGCTGGTGCTTCCATTATTTATGTTTTCAGTTTATCACTTATTTCCTCTTCTCTTTTAGTCTGACCTCGGATCTCTGCGCTCTGGTTACAATTTCCTCCTCCTTGCAAGACAAATCTGTATGTAATCATCTTTTTCCTTCCTCTTACAGCAGCCGGTGATAATGTTTTCTGACACGGCCCATAAACATTTGTGGCAACACATTTTGAGCACCAGAAAATGGCTGTGTACTGTAGGGCTAGGCATGTAGGTGACAATAACACTGCAGAACAAATGACAGACACGGACGGACATTATATATGTAAATGCAGCTCAGAAGACAGTAAAAACTGTAGGTGATACATGACGGTTGGTCCTTGTTCCCATGTTTGTTAGTGGAGGAACAGCCAGAAGTTCTACCGCTTGTGCTCTCAATCCTCTAGTTTTTCTCCTTCCCTTTTTCCCTTCAATAAAAGAACCCCTAATATATATATACAGTATTTGAAGCATCCTGTGCAAACTATCCAGGAATAAAATGTCTTCTTGAAATCTCTGGGAACAGGCAGGAAGGATGTGCTGAATTAAAAATGACCACGACACACTGAATATCACTGTCAAAGACCTGTAATTATACAGCTTTTTTGGCAGAGCAGAAAAATTGCATGTTGTCTGCAAAAGGTGAGATGTTGGTGACATAAAAACGAGCAGGGACGTTTATTTGACTGTACCTGTTTTCGACAATCTGCTGCCTGATCATCTTGACATATTCAAAGCTCTCCACGCAGCAGATGTCATACACCAGGATGTAGGCGTTGGCGTTGCGTACTCCTCGGCATCGCAGGTCCAGCCACTCCTTGAAGACAAACAGAGTATGGAAATAAAGAGTCTCCGACAAAAGAACCCAGACTGACGTGGTATTTAGTTCAGGCCAGCTGTAGAAAATAAAAGTGGAAACCTGTTGTTCTTAAACACAAACGGTTTTATGTCCAAACTGAGCGCTGACCGCAAATCAATTCAAAACAATTGGAACGGCATAGGCTGAGAAATCAGCCTATGCCGTTACCATGCCGACCCTAGGAGGAACGCCAGCAAAAATTGGCTGCATTCTTCAATTATAATGATGATGGCAGTTTGCCATCCAAAACCAAATTCTTGGTTTCTTGGTAAAATTCTGGTCAATTACAAATTGACCACAGTTGTTTTTGCAGCCCTGGTAAGAGTCGACTTAAATTAACCAACTGGAATTCGTATACACCAGCGGTTCTCAAACTTTTTTGGGCATGCCCACTTCTTACCCCCAGTTGCACACACCTTTGAAAAAAACAAACAAAAAAACAATAAATATTTAATCTAATGATCGGAACACACATACTGTATATGGCCTGCATTAATTTATTAAATTAACTTTCAGCCTGATTTTATTACAGAGGAAATGTTTATTTACACATCTTTGAGTGAAGAAATCCCATTTAAAAAGCATTCCAAGCTGCAATCGCATTGTTCATCTCACACACCCCGTAGTGGCAGCACTTCCCACACTTTGGGAATCCCTGGTATACACTTACCTTAGTATAGCCATTTTTCATATGTCATTTAAGGAACCAGTTCATGTTGTAGTGCACTTGAAATTACATTGTGAACTGGTCAAATGGCAAAAAGTCTTACAGGGCAGACAAACATCGGTGAAATTAAATAGCCTTTAAAGCTAAGCAAAGTTGAATGACATGGCAAATTTCAACTTTCCTTTTTTGTTTATTGAAACAATTGAAACACCTTCACTTACGTAAAACGTAAAGGTCACATTTTATAGAGAACAAACTATTTTCTGACGCTGGGAGAGAAAATTACTCTGCCTCAGGAATAAACCTAATGATCTGTTCATCAATAAACATTGCCTTTATCAAGTCTGATTTGTAAGGATCTAAAAACTTCATTCATGATGAAATCCATGCTACAGTTGGCATTATCATTAAAATCAACATACTTTTGTTTGTCCTTAAATGTTCATTTTTTTGTATTAAATTGTGCAACTATTCTTAGGGCACAATTTCCTTCCTACCGTCTGCTCATTCACCGTGAGGAAGTGCAGAGTCAACAATGTCCTAATGTCCTGCCAAAACAGTGGGTCTGGAGCCCAGAACAAAGTCATAAAACACGCAGCAGCCTGACGAAGCAGAGCATCCTTAAGGACTGAGACAGAGGTTACAGCTGATGCTGCAGGAGATAAACAAGCAAATCCTTGTCTGGACTCTACTCTGGACTCTGGACTCTGGATCCTACTGGATTCAGCCAGCAATTAGACAACAGAAATCTCAGTGTGTTAGCAGTCGGTTTCAGAGTGTAATTAAAGTTTGTATGTAAATGTGCCATCTGCCACGTTTCTCTACAGAAACACAGTGGCCCAATCATGCTGTAATTCTTTTTTCAACTTCATCAACTGGTCTTAGTCTATTATTTTCTATTCTGTGGTAAAAAAAAACACAGACGATACAACCTCGCTTATGGACACATTTGAGTACATACTATACAAGTAACAATAATAGAACTGAAATCACAATAGATAGATAGATAGATAGATAGATAGATAGATAGAGAGATAGATAGATAGATAGATAGATAGATAGATAGATAGATAGATAGATAGATAGATAGATAGATAGATAGATAGAGAGATAGATAGATAGATAGATAGATAGATAGATAGATAGATAGATAGATAGATAGATAGATAGATAGATAGATAGAGAGATAGATAGATAGATAGATAGATAGATAGATAGATAGATATTCTGTCAAGATGGCTTAACAAGGGTCTTTAGAGGGCTCTTTATAAAAAGTGGGACCACTGAGCAGACAGAAGATATTCCTTGGCCTCACAAAATTAAATAAAGTTTTATTTACAGTCCCACATAAAGTATTGCAAATAAAAACATTTTATTGTTACAGGTGATTCCCTTGTTCCAAACCATATCTGCATAATTAGCCCTTTGAAAGGACCACTAACACACACTAACAAACAAGCGCATAATTTCCAGAAACAAACGGGGGAAAAAACCCAGTAAATGAATATTCTATTAATCCAATAGATCTCAACGCCATAACTAAGAAACTCAGATAATAAGTAGGAAACAAAGTCACTAAAATGTCCTCAGTGTGTGTTAAACATGAATTTCCACAGTAGATAAAATTTGTTTTTAGTTTTGTGTTTATGTGAGTGTGAGGTATTAACAGTCTTACACATCAGCGAGAGTTAATGAGCCTGATCAGGCATAAATGCAAACAGACGACAGGAAGATCGCTGCCATAAAATGTGACAGAGCGGGAGAGCAGGTGTAGAGAGGAAGTGTGCGTGCAGTGTGTTGTAAAAACTGCCTGAAAAACTGTGAAAATTCTCTCCCTTCTTTTCAGGGTAAAACAGTTCAAGAGACAGAAATAAAAAACGTCGCAGGTGCAATATTCAATTCTGCTGTGCTTCATTGTGTAGACTTGTTTATCAGGTGTCAAATCCAAAAATGTGTGAAGTAGGACTGAGAAAAATATGCATCTTTTTTTGCCAGACAACCAAGACCCAGTCTCTGTCACAACAGCTGAACAACACACTCTGTTCTGATAATTGTGGAGAGTGATGATGTGAAATTCATCAGAATAGCTTCACTTGTAGTTTCATATTCCTGCTAAATAGCAACTTGTGTTCTCAACCCTGTCGCTCTTCGACATCTCATGCATGAGTTTTAAATATAAAGGAGTGAGAGATAAAAATACATAATAAAAAAAACCCCACCAACAACCAACACACACAGAGAAGGAGGAAAACAACAGAATGATATGATTTGCCTGATAAAATCAAATCAATTTCAAATGCATGTGCGGGCATGTTCATGTTTATGTGTGTGTGTGTGTGTGTGTTCACAAGATGTGTGCTTATGACAAGTGTGATCGTGAAGTGTGGTTGCACTGTTTGTATCATCCAGTTGGTCTCCTTAACACAACACACAGGGGGAAAAAAAGAGCATCTCATCCCTTGCTCCTCCACAGCCAAACACAACATGTTTCCCTGGCCACGGCAGACTGGCTGTGCTCTAATCTGGCTATGTCAAAACTGTCATCTATGCTGACATGAGGGAAGGCAACGTTATGTTAATGAGTGGTTGGTTTGGGATCAATATTTCATTACGGCAAGGCAGATACTGTATGTCCCTGCCTCACTCATTCTCTCTCTCTCTTACACACACATACATTTGAGCAATTTACATGGACAAATTGCATTCCTAAATCTCTTATCCTAATCTTAACAAATACGAAATTATTGCTTATTTTAAGTCCACTCTAATCCTCAATAACATTGTAAAAAAAAGTTTTTATTACAGATTGTCCTCAAATATATAGCTTTACCAGAAACACACATTGATGAGCAATTTGCCATAAACAAATTACACGCCTTAGTCCCTTATTCTGACAATTACATTGCATACACATTTCTTATTTTAATCCCTACCTTTGTTTAAATGTTTTAATTTTAATCTTTTTTTCAATCTTTTAAAATATGTCCCTATAAGTACAGCTACACAAGAAACAGACAAAGGCCATCCTGCTACATTTGCAATTGAAATTTATTACATCCCCCTGGTGAAGAAATTGTCATTAGTGAGTGATGACATGTAGTGTATGAGGTGACATCAGAAAACTGATGATCACACACAGGAGTGTAACATGTAAGTAATAAATAGAGAGCAGGTCTGGGAATTAAAGTCATGAACTGATTTTTTTCACACATGTTGGAGCAGCTTAAGGCACAAGATTAAACATCTCAGACTTATGTGAGAAAATCAATTTCAATATCCATAAATATGATGCCAGAGGGAGAAGCGGCTAATCCTGGTTTCACATTTAACTCTACAGGGGGCAGTCTGTCTTGTACATTAGGAGCGGGTGATAATAATAACGAGAGCCACAGTTGTTTCATCCTCACAGCCTGAGGGACAACAAACTGAAGCAGACCACTGGCATCAGTAATAATCTCTTAATTAGAAAATGTTGCATGCCATAATATCTGGAATATAAAAATATTAAAAGCCGATTGTGCACGTAACACATAACATTATGCAAAAGTAGCCAAAAGCCATTGTTGAAGTAGCCACAAGCCAAAAGCCAGGTAAAAAAAAAACAAAAACAAAAAAACGGCTAAAGCTTTGCCCGGAAAAACCTAAATGTTGCTCAGTCAACAAAAAACACATTTACTTGAAAAAAAAAGCTAAAACAAATCAGTAAGACAGCCAAGTTTAAGTTAGCCAAGTTTGCATAGACATGACAAAAATGTTATTTCCCTCAAAGAACTAACATTCCCTGTGGGAAACCCAAGGGATTAATAAAGTTTCTTTGTTCATCGTTCGTTCTATCTATCTATCTATCTATCAATCTATCTAACTATCTATCGATCTATCTATCTATCTATCTAACTATCTATCTATCTATCTCTCTATCTCTCTATCTCTCTATCCATCTATCTATCTATCTATCTGTCTATCGATCTCTCTATCTCTCTATCCATCTATCTATCTATCTGTCTATCTATCTCTCTATCTCTCTCTCTCTCTCTCTCTATCTGTCTATCTATCTCTCTATCTCTCTCTCTCTCTCTCTCTATCTGTCTATCTATCTCTCTATCTCTCTATCTATCTATCTGTCTATCGATCTCTCTATCTCTCTATCCATCTATCTATCTATCTGTCTATCGATCTCTCTATCTCTCTATCCATCTATCTATCTCTCTATCTATCTATCTATCTCTCTATCCATCTATCTATCTCTCTATCTATCTATCTATCTCTCTATCTATCTATCTGTCTATCGATC